GTGCGTGTGTGCCCCCCCCACCCTCACACCCACCTGGTCCAGTCCCGCAGCAGCCCCACGGCGGCGGCGTGTGGGTCCGGCAGCCCCCCCGGCCGGAGCCGTCCCTGTTTCCGGGCCAGGTGGGACAGGAATTCTCGGGGGTCGGCGCAGGGGGGTACCCCGTAAAGTGCCTTCAGCTGTTGGGGGGGGGTCACACACACAGTTGTCACCCCCCACATCTAGGTGTCACCCCCAAAGCCCCCTCCCCTCCCTTTGGGGCTGAAATGGGGAGGACACCCCCCCTCGTTGCCACAGCAACGCGCCTGAGACCCCCAAGGGGGGGTCACAACACCCCTAATCACCATGGCAACAGGTCCAAGACCCCCAAGGGGGGGGCACAACACCCCTAATCACCATGACAACAGGTCCAGTCCCCAAGGGGGGGTCAACAACACCCCTAATCACCATGGCAACAGGTCCAAGACCCCAAGGGGGGGTCACAACACCCCTAATCACCATGGCAACAGGTCCAAGACCCCCAAGGGGGGGTCACAACACCCCAAATCACCACGACAACAGGTCCAAGACCCCCAAGGGGGGGTCCCAACACCCCTAATTGCCACGACAACAGGTCCCAGCCCCCCAAGGGTGGGTCCCAACACCCCTAATCACCATGGCAACGGTTGCAAGACCCCAAGGGGGGGTCACCAACACCCCAAGGGGGGTCCCAACACCCCAAATCACCATGACAACAGGTCCCAGCCCCCCAAGGGGGGGTCACAACACCCCTGATCACCATGGCAACAGGTCCCAGCCCCCAAGGGGGGGTCACAACACCCCTAATCACCATGGCAATGGGTTCAAGACCCCAAGGGGGGGTCACTGAGACCCCAAGGGGGGGTCACAACACCCCTAATCACCATGGCAACGGGTCCAACACCCCAAGGGGGGGTCACAACACCCCTAATCACCATGACAACAGGTCCAAGACCCCCAAGGGGGGGGGGGTCACAACACCCCTAATCACCATGGAAACAGGTCCAGCCCCCCAAGGGGGGGTCACAACACCCCAAATCCCCACGACAACAGGTCCCAGCCCCCCACCCAAGGGGTTCCTCACCCACCTGCTCGGGGGGGCAGCGGCGTAAGATGTCGGCGGCGGGTCCCAGGGGGTCTTTCAGGCGCTGGGGGTCCAGGGCCCCCCTTAAGGGGGGGGCGATGCCGGTGGGGGGGTCCCCCGTTTCCATGACAACACCGGGACAGTCCAAGAGCTGGATGTGCCGGTCCAGCTGGACGGCCTGTAGGCACCTGGGGGGGGGAATTTGGGGGGATTGGGGGCGTGGCTTAGGATGCCACGCCCACTTTGGGGGTGTGGCTAATTAATTAGGCTCCTCCCAGTGGGGGGGGCTTACCTGGTGACCCCCGGTACCGCCCCCACCCCGCAGGCCCGGCTCCTTTTGAGGCTGTTGATGAGGCTGCTCTTCCCCACGTTG